GACAGTTTAATCTTCTTACTTGAAAATCTGATCTATTCTATGATTAAGTCAAGTACCATGTCAGTACATTAAATGAAAAAAAAACTTATCTTTAAAGTGATTGTTAATATAGAGTGCTGCTAGTTTAGTTTTCAATTGATTAAACCAAAGAATTGAAACAACCTTTCAGTTTTTTTGGTATTTCTTTAGTATAATCTACTTAATTTGACGTTAGTTAATGAAGTTTATGAGGAAAATATGGAGAAGCTATACCTTACGGACGACCTAGAGGCATTCTAAAAGTACTTACTTAAGCCTGTTACTCCCAGTGACAAATAAGCCGCCGACCCGTATTCTCACACCTTCTCTATCCTGGGCCATCCTTTCCAGTTCTATCCAATTGTTCTTCATTCTTCTCATGACTGTCTCCATTTCTTAAGGTAAAGTTTCTTTGGTCTTCCTCTCTTCCTTTGGCTTTGCAGATTCCAAGTAAGAGATAGTCTTGTGACCCACTTGGTTAATTTCCTCAGCGTTTCTTCCTGATTTCTTCGTCCGCTGGAATTTGGTTTGTTCTCTCCCACAGTACATTGTTGCTGATGGTGTAGTTCAAAGTTCGCCAAGTTTCGACTCCATACAGTAAAACTGTCTCGACATTCGTGTTGAAAATTGTTACTTTTGTGTTGGCCGATAGTCTATTTGGGCTGCAGATGTTTTTTAATTGTAGAAATGCTGCCCTTGCTCAGCTAATCTGTGTCTTTACATAGGTATCACTGATGCTGCCTAAATAAGTAAAAGTTTCTATATCTTGTAAAGCTTCTGAGTCAAGTGCGATTTGATTGATACACATTGTGTTGCATCGGACGATCTTGTTTTTCCTTTGTGAATCGTTAGACCTATTGCTGCTGTGGCTTTTGCTACACTAGTCGTCTTCCCTTGCATTTGTTGTTGCTTGTGCGATATAAGAGCCATATCGTTTGCAAAGTCTAGATCGTCTAGCTGCATCCTCGCTGTCCACTGTGTCTTCATAATCCAGTTGATCGCCAGGAGAAAGAAAAAGAGTGTGAGTAAGCAACCTCGCCTGATATCAGTCCTCACCTGGAACGAGTCTGTGAGCTGTCCTTTCAGTTCAATCCGTCACAGGAATTCCTCATGATGTTGACTATCTCCTCAGGCACGCCGTGATATCGAAGAAGCCTTCGTAGTGTCATCCTGTCCACGCTGTTGAATGCTTTCTTGTAGTCAATGGAGTTGATGCACAGTGGTGAATTATATTCAAGTGATTGTTCCACAACGATCCCTAATGTTGCAATTTAGTCGGTACACGATCGATCCTTACGAAATCAAGACTGTTGATTTCGAAGTTGGGCATCTAAGAAGTCCTTCATTCTGTTTAACAATACTCTGTTGAGGACATTTCCTGGTATTGAGAGAAGAGTGACGCCTCCGTAGTTCTTACACTTGCTGACATCTACGTTCTTTGGTATCTTGGTCAGGTGACCTTTCCAGTCTGTTGATACTTGTTCTTTATCCCTAATTTTGCTGAAGAGGATGTGGAGTATCTTTGCAGTTACTGTTATGTCTAACTTCACTGCCTCAGCGGGAATGTTGTCTGGACCCGCTGCTCTGCCGCTCTTGATTTGTGTGATGGCCATACTGATAGCTTCAACTGTTGGTTGGCCAACATCGATTGGGATGTCCGTGGATGCTGCTTCGATGTTGGGTGGGTTCAGTGGGGCTGGTTAATTCAAGAGATCCTTAAAGTACGCTAACAACTTGTTTCGCTCTTCTTTAATGTCAGTGAATACTATGCCTTCCCTGATTTTCATTGGTCGTTCTGGTTTAAGATAATTCCCAGCGAGCTTCTTTGTTGTGTCATACAAGTGTCTCATGTCTCCTCCTCTTCCAGCTTTTCCTATAGTTGTGGCTAGATATTCCACAAATTTACGCTTGTCAGCATTAACGCTTCACTTCGCCTGCTTGTTCGCTTCTGCGTTTTCAGCCCATTCCTTTGCTTTCTCTGCTCTTGTTCGGTTGATTTTGATTTCTGCCTTCTCGATCCTCCTTTATTCAATTTTATCGAGAGTACCTACAGAGATCTTTTCCTTGTGATGCTGCTTCTTGCGGCCCAGAACCTCCTGACATGTTGAAGTGATTGCTTCCTTGATCCGTTTCCATTTATTCTCCATGGTAGTTTTTTCTGCATTGAGTAGATCGTGAAACGCCTGGAACTTGTTGCTGAGAACTATCTTGAATTTGTTAAGCTTTCCAGTATCCCAAAAAAAGTCCGTATTAAACTTTTGTGATGTTGTTCGCCCCGTTGTTCAGGGTTTTTTGAGTTTCAGTTACACCTTGGACACCTTGAGTGTTGATTTGAGGCCAAAGCAGCTCCTCTCTTGGTTCCCACATTCTCCATGGTCCTTCTGAACTATTTATTGATGTAAATGTGGTTAATTTGGTTGTGTGTAGCGTGATCCGGTTAGCGTTTTTTTAGCGAGTTAGTTTTCTGCCCAACCCTCCTCCTTTATCCAAACTTGGGACCAGCAGTGGGTCGAAAGGGGGTTAAGGTGGAGTGATCTTACAAAATTCCAGCCACTTACAACATAGGGTTGGTAATTAGCAGTCCAGGTTAAGGTTTTGTCCATGTACTGGCATTAGCTGTACAGCGAGAATGCTATATGGCCAAGTGGATTGATTAATTTTACGCAAAAATCTAAGATACACGATCTTCAGTCTGATTGAATTTATCGGTAAAATTTAGTTCCACCGAAAATCCATGTTTGAGGTAACTTAGTAAACTACTATATACAAAGATACATGTAATCACTATGCATTAAGTAATCACTATGACCAATGCATAGTGTAAGTAGCTAGAACTTTATGTAGTGCCCGGTTGCCTAAACAGAAGTAGACAGAATTGAATTCGGACCTAAAATTTGATGATTGAAAGTCAGTCAGGTATATCAACTAATAAGACATGGCTGTCTAACACATTGGGAAAAATCAAATAAACGTCATACTTCTTATAAATCAACATAGTTTTGTAGTTTCTAGATGCACCATGAATATGACTTGTCAAAAAGAGTAACTGTCCACAACTCATGACTTTTGATCTCTCAAAATTAGGAAAAGAACTTTTTATTTCAATAGGGAGATAGTGTGAACAAGTTATTAAGTTTTGCACTAATACAACCAATTAACTCAAAAGAAAAGTATCTCCTGATGATGTTGTTCCGAAGAACAATCAAAATTTTACAACCAAAACATCCAAATGAGTAACTACAACACTTACAACATAATATATATTTAATTCTACCACAATTATCAGTCTGTCCATTTAATTTCTTACATCGTAGCCCGAAAAATTGTTTCTTTGTCCGACTACGTGTATGTATGTAAACGATGAACAAAATAAAATATCTGTGTATTATTTCAAACTGTTTCTTTTTTATTATGATTTACTTGTCCTAATCATTTTAGTTAGGTTAGTTTTACCAACCATCATTGGTCTATGTAACCCGATCAATTACCTTCTCATTCACACATATTCCTGACCTTACAATCATTACTAAGATGATCCGGTCGACAGAAGCTTTTAGTTAATTAATTTTCTTCACTGTATAGGTCAATAAATTCAAGTAACACTCTTTGAATTTAAAGTTCTCTTAAGTATTTTCTATGCAGAATTTTTATGAATCAAAGTAACGTGAAATTCCCAATGAATTATTTTCTAATTACAACTCCTATTGTTAATTGCTCAAAATTCTAAATCAATTCCACATAACAGTTCACTTAGTAATAAGATTGTTATTATTTTAGTAATTTGAATTTTTTTTTTAATTTTTTTTTAATTAACTATATTAAATTCTTTTCTTAATTGTTTAACTGCGTAAACAATGTAAGCCTAATTGAAATAAGGTGAAATGATTTTTACAGTACGATTATCTATTCTCTTTACTGTGAATTTATTCATTAGTCATACACTGATGTTCAAGCATTCGGTTAATCTTATTAAAAGATCTAATGAGATAATCAAATATTTCAATTCCATTATTCTGACCATGTTTCATCTATTTCTAATTAAGAGTAAATGCCACATTATATGAAACCATAGCTGAACGAAATGTAAACAATAGGATTCAAACATTTTAACATATGTAAAGAATTGTACCATAACTTCAGTTCCATTGATTATCATAAGATTGACTTATGATCTCAATTTAGATCAATGAGTAATCTTACCATATACAAGCGAAATATTAATTATTGTAACAAGTAACTAATTGAAGACTATTTTCTACATTGTCTATGGATTTGATGAGCATGTTACATAACTATTTAATCGAATGGTGTACTATAGTGTTGTATACTATTGTCCCTGAATAATAATGCAGATAATTCATATGAGCCATTATAATTATTCGATCTTAATTGGATAACAACAGTGCTAATACTTCTATTACCTCTACCTATTATGTGATTTGAATTGACAATTGCAACTCTGTGCTGATATGGTTTGGCAACTTGAACTGATGTACGTACGTTGTAACTGATTGACTGACTGACATTAGATCTTAATTAGATAAAAAGTGTCAAAATGAATGTCGGATAGTAGAAAGAAATCTAAAGCGACACAGAAAAAAAAGGAATGTGTACGATAGACGGCCACATTATACTCGTTATACCTCAGAATACTATTGTGAAAAGTAATGTACTATCATCGGACATTTACCTACTCTCAAGTTTAAAAACGAAATTTGAATTACTGAGATCCATATGTGCAAGTATTTCATGACATAAAGTGGACATTTGACTGCATTGATCCAATCTCGAATCTAACATTGCACATACATCCTAAATGCAATCAATTTACGAGGTCATTTTACTTAAGGACAAATAATGATAATTAAAACTGTTAACAATAAATACAGATAAACCTTACAAATAATATGTTATTCAAACTTTCAACTTGTAACCGTAAACACACTAGTACGCAAAAGATTTAACAAATTAACTCCACTGACCTGATATGTGAAATCCAGTGAAAACGCTTGTTCATTAGAATGATGATTATGTACACCTAGAGGATAAACAGCCAATTGTTTTTTGGCATTAATCACATGATCACATGTAAATGTGACAATTTCATTGGGTAATTTACCAGATGGTATAAATATTTGATCTATAGCTTCACTGAATGGTTGCATTGTACCACCAACTAGAAGGACACTTTTAGCTTCTTGTACTAGATCTAATAAAAATACATAGATAATAAAAATATAATATCAATTAGATTTTAAAAACAAAACAATGAATGTCACGCTATAATAGATAAAAATTATTGCTTAACATCAATTATAGATGAGATGAAAATTGACGTTTAGTTTTGAAGATAAATGCGGGGTCATTTTTTTTAACAAAAAAATAGTTTCATCTCAATTATATTGAATTCATTAAAATAAACAATTGTTTTTAGTTTTTTTCAAAATGTAGAAAAATTAAAACTACATCTATTCATAAGCCTATTTAGGCAAAATTTTATATTATATATTTTTATGATACGTCAATATGATGATACAATTTGAATACAGTATAACTACATTAAGCAAGCAGAATTTCCTAAATCATTCAAGTTAGCTCCATAGATTTTAATCTATAAATAATGATATACAGAAAATTGTACTGTCACGGGAGATTAGTGAAGATTGTATGGATTGAAAATAGTTCACATTTCAAACTGCCTATACTTAGACAACTAATGGAAAAGTGAGCAGAACAGATAACTACTTTGACCTAGATAATAGTGTGCATGTAAACAACAGAAGCATCAAATCAAGAAATTTCAATCTCTTTTGCTTCCGGTCAATTTATGGGAACTAATGCACCTCATTTACACATCTGGGCAGCAAAATTGATAAACAAAGTGAATTGGATGCAGAGTAGAAGATACAGATTGGCAAAGCGACGGCTATGTTTCGACAATTGAAAAATATCTGCAACTTAAAACAAGTATCGATCAATACCAAAGTCGCAATTATCTGTACAAACTTCAAGACAGTTCTACTGTATGGACTCGAAACTTGGAGAACCACGAAAGTCATCACAAGATACAGGTGTTTATTAACAGATGTGTACGCTAAATACTTTGTATCCGCTGGCCACACACCATCAACAACAATGTACTGTGGGAGAGAACAAACCAGATTCCAGAGGAGGAAGAAATCAGGGAGAAGAGCTGGGAATGGATAGGATACATTGAGGAAAGCACCGAAACGCGTTACAAAACAAGCCCTCACTTGCAATTCTGAGGGCCAAAAGAGTAGAGGAAGACAAACGAACGCTTTACCTCGATAAATAGAGACAGACGTGAGAAGAATGGAGAACTAATAGATAGAACCGGAAATGAAGGCCCAGAATAGAGTGGGTTGGAGAATGCTGGTCGGTGGCCTATGCTTCATTAGGAGTAACAGGCGTTAGTAAGTAACTCATGCATCTCCCAATGTCCTAACTGCATAAAAAAAGCCAAGACGATATTATTTCATAGATTAGAATCCAAATAAGTTTCTTACCTTTTAAATACCTTCCAGGATTTAAAAATATCACACGTAGACACAAATCTAGGGTATCATCTGTACAGTCATTTGACGAAGATGATACATCAGATGGAGAGATTGATAGATTTAATTTTGTTGAGTTTTTCATAGGTTCAATAATTATACGTGCATCTTCTTCAGAAAATTCTAAAGCTTGAAGAAAGCTATGGAATTTAAATAAACTAGAACCGATCCCTTCGGATTTTTCAATATCTATTTTAGATTTTTTATTTGAAATACAAACCTGAAAATGAATTGAAAGCTTGTAAGTGCAATTCAGAAAAGACATTTAAAAATATTTTATATTTTTCAGATAATGTCTATACAGGCTCGAGAAAATTTTATTTATCCACATATATATACATTCTAGATGAAATTTATGGTTAAGCATTTCAACTTTTACCAGTGATTCCACCTTCGGTAACTGGAGATGGGTAATATGGTACTCTAGACCTACGTATTGTGCCAGTTGGCATGTCCGGAGGGAGTTGACGCTTCTTCAACATATCCAACGGAAAAATAAGTCGTTCATATTAGTGGCCATATTGTAAGTTGGTGGATATAATTCGGTTAGTATTAACGGACTAACCAAACATGAAATTGTTCACTAGTCAGCGATTATTATGCTACAGTGATACTGTTTACGTAATACATCAAAGCATAACATTAATCATTTACTGGATACACAGATTCAGGTGCTTGGCTTCAAACCATACGCTAAATGAAATATAGTGATAGTTACTTGACCGTCTAAATTGAAGAGGGTTACTGATTTCAACACTGAATACTGTGATAAAAGAGGTTTCAATTAATAGCTCATAAAAGATACTTTGAGTGGAGACATCTCAATAAACGCTTTCTTAATGTCATAATTAGTTAATGAAAAAGAAATATTCAGTCCAGAAATATTGCGTTGGTTTGTGAAGATTTGAAACATTTTGTACAAATGGAAACCTACCAGAGAAATTGTATCGTCAACTGACCAAATTATACAACTGTGTTTTAACTTACTTGACTTGTATTTCCACACTTATTATTCGCATCAGAATATTTTCTTTTCATAGTATTTAATAAATTTGTCATTTTTGAACAAGCTGTTTGATTAGTTGCAACATTGTCTGAATGTTTGAAATTTTTGCGTATATTAGACCATTTAGAGAAACCAATTAATTTCATGATAAAATGTTGATATTCCAAACAATCAATAAATTCGCTTAAATTTATATTGTCTAAATTCGATTCAGAAAATAATTTATTCACTGTTTTAATAATAACATTAAACGATGTGGAAGATAATGATAATTGAATATTTTTAAGCGTAGTATTTAAATAAAGTTTCAATTGTTGTAAAAAATGTTTCATTTGACGTAGTCTTAATATAAGAAATGATGATAAACGTGAACGATAATATTGTAAATAATCAGAAAATAACTCTTCCAATTTGTTTATATCATTCATCAATGACAAACTGACTGACATTGACGATGCTGTTGCTTCTAACAAATTATGTGCTTCATCAATGATAACAATGGAATTTTTTAGTGTTAAACCAGATGCTAAACGATTTGATAATTGCAACAATGATGAATATGGTACTAGAATTAATTGAGCTAATGGTATACCTTTACGATTAGCATAATATGGACAGCCAATTTGAGATAATTGTGTATTGTCTAATGACGTCTCATCTTTTTGGTATTCTTTCGAAGTACTACTCACTGTCTTAATCGATTTGGATGACTGACTTAATTGTTTACCTCTAATACTACTAGTTATGTTTAAAGCTGAATTTCCAATTAATAGATGTTTGGATAAATTATTAACAGCTGTTAAATTACGCATTGGACATTTAAAATCTTTCGATTGACCTTCTTTATGAGTACGCGGTCGATTCAATTCGAGACAAGCAATATTAATCAGATCTGGGTGTTTTAGTTGGTAAATGTTTTCATTAATACATAATAAATTTCTTGATGATAATTGAATTATTGTAACTTTATCAAATAATGTTTTACATTTTTCAAATTCTTTAGCTATTTGTCCAAGTTGAGAATGGGTTCGACTACAATAAATGACACGTAATAATCCATTATCAGATTCTTGTTGTTGGTTTTCAAACTGTTGATTTAATTCAGTTTCATCGAATTCATTAATTTTATGTTTATTGAATAAGTTCTCATTGGGTTGACACAGAAATATATCATCATCATCATTGTCATGGTGATCATCGGGAACGTCTATGATATTTTTCAATTGTTCAATATCAATAGTATCAGCATTCGCTTCAGTTATAGTTATTTCATCAACATTTGAAGAATCAATGTGATGTTTAGTTAATAATGATGATGATGAAGTGGATGAAGATAATTTTATTTTCTCAATTAATTGTAAACTAGACTGATAAATTAATAGATCTTCAATTTGAGGTTCAATTTGTTGTTTTAATAAACGATTTTTATCATATTCCATTATCCAATCGTATCCTTTAGTATTATTCTCTTTATTTTCATGATTCATTAATTTTAATTGAGATTGAAGATTATTTAATAACATTATTTGTTTTTCATTATAATCTAAAAGCCAACGTAATGTTGCTGTTAATAAACTCAATGATTTGCCAGTACCAGTTGGACTTTCAAATATACCACAACAATTAGATTCCAGCGTTTTATAGACTGTTTGCATCAGTTCCAACTGTTGTGAATATGGTTTAGGATAAGGAAAATCAATAAATTGATTTGGTATAGTCATTGATGAGTGTAATTTATCAGTAATTTCTTTTTCTGTTACTGTAGTAGTTTGTTGGTGAATATCAGTCAAATTGGATGTTAAATTAGTAATATTTAATTCCAAAAGTACTTGATCTCCAACTGAATCATTATAGAAATCATCGTCCATCTTATACATATGTCTATGAAAATAAAAGAAACAAACAACAAAATAACTAATGTTAGAGAGAAGAAGAGTAATTTTTGAAAGTCAGCGAACTGCTGAAAAGCTATGTCAACGTTTGACTCCGGTATTGTATGTAGCTAGTTTGGCAAAGCGCCAGGAGAATCATGGTTCACAAGTCGGCTAAACAGTCCTAATTAGAACGAAATCTAGGATCGGACCGATTACCACCAAAAGATCTATCGATAAATTGGATATCACAATGTTTTTAGAAAGAAAACTGACCAGAAGTCAGTCTAGCAACCACTAACAATGAAGCTACTATATTTTCATAAAACCTGAAGTTTAAGATTCCTAAATTGCATGAAATTTTGGTTACCATATAGAAGTTGCTATTTCCTACCAAACATAACAGCTAATTTAAGTATTATGAGTGTTTTTATAACACATGGGATCATGGAAATTATCACATGCACTCAAGAATAATATATAAATTTCTCGATTTTTAAAGGTAAATATTAGTTATCAAGTATTATAGTCATACAAATTAGAGTAGGTGATGTAGTTGGATTGGCTGATCAGCAATTTTTGAATAAAACAATAAATTGAAAAAAAAAAGAAATGAACTCTGTCTACGAGAAGATGACTCAAAAGCAGAACATAAACGTATACACCAATAAATAATACAAAGAAAGTATGAAAAATGTGATCGACTACTATTTATCAATAGAAATATAATTGTTAAAATAACAAAAAGCTGTCTGATAGAGTAAGGTTTTATTGTTTGATGAATATATTTTCGATTGTTAAAACTGAAAGTGGTTAAGCGATGGCCGTTCAAGAGATCGAATGATTGTCTCAAGTAATCGAATGATTTGAGGTCAAAAACAGGACTGCTAGCCAGAAGAATAGGCTGTTTCTTCTAAAAAAAAATAGTAAGATGCTTAAGTTTGATAAATCATTGTTGAATATCAATTTAGTAGGTAGCTCACTCTACAGTGAATTGAGTTCTGACTGTTAGACTTAATTCTCGCTCATTATGTTAAGTTGAAAGACGGATAAATTTGTGTTTAAAATCTGATTATTCGTAGCAAACAAAAAGTTTTATGAACATAAACATCCACTATTGATTGAAATCTCAAAACGATATGTTTATGAAGAAATGATGAGTGAATTCATAAGTAAAGCAGATGAGAAAGAAATGTAGTTATTTGCCCAAATATATCACTTTATATTGATGAGACCAAGTAACGAAAAAACCTCAATATCTTCATTTCATACTGTACTTCTATTAAGTGAGATGTAGTTTGTCAAAGAGATTAACTCATTCGTTACTTATATATATATAGGCATGAGCCAAACTCTAGGTGTAAAGACTAATGATACTAACCGACTGCCTGAAACGAAATAGATGGAGAGGTGTTCAATCCTGGGACTTAGAAGCTGTAACTTGAAAACCTTAACTATTAAATCACCATCAGTATCGCAACTAGTGATTTGCAAGAAAAATATTATATCACTAAGAATACTACTGAAGTAAATCAGTATCTGAATAATCCGCATATCATGCGGCAGAATTTTGTCACCAAATAATTACTTGGAATATTAAACACCAAGTGATTGTTAAGCTTGCTCAGGATATTCCACTATGAACTGTTTAGACCCAAACAATTTCACAATCTAACGAAATAACACTAGGCAGTTTTATAATAATTATGTGTAAAACGTTAACTGACCGCTAACTGATATGAATATGTCAGTCCAGAAGAAGGTGGATTTCGACCCGAAGAGCTCAACGGTAACATTTCAAACTATGAAATTGGGTGACCTGGACTTGAAATTCATAAAAGAGTAACTGTAAGTAGGCCCAACTAGCGAATAGTAAACAGTATAAGATCTAGGCCTAGGATTTCCTGCTGACTATTTTAGATCACCAACATGATGGAATGTTTAGTTCTTCTTGGTATGAGTACAAACACTACTAATTTACCGATATGAATGCACTGTTTAGCCGTTTACTTCAATCACTAACGTTTGTTATGTTAAAACACAAACAGTAAGTACGAAGACCCGGTGATGAAAATCATAGAAACAATTTTAATCTCTTCAAAAACTGTTCCAGCATAACAGTCTATATTGACTTGAAGATGAAAGTACATTTGTAAAAGTAGAAACGCTTCAATAATTCTATCTATCAAAGTAATCAGTAATTTTGTTTTAAACAAGAGCATTTCTAAATGATCTAAAATAACTAAAAATCAATTTGGAAGTGCATGTACTCTCAAGGTTACCACCTCACATATTTCACCACTTACTAATTAAACCTGTTAAAATAAACTTAATTCAATGACTAGGGTGTATATAAAGAAGTTATTAGAAATAATGAAATAAAAACTGGCATGCACCTGAATTTTAGAATAAATGATATTTCATAAATTAAATTCAACGTATTGACGGTAAATTAGGTTTTAATTCTTTTTGATGTCACACCCAAATGTCACATGATTTAGGCGGAGATAATTTGGAGATGTTAAAAGATAATAATAATCGCAAGAGGTGGAAATTTCAGTTTCGGTTCAAAAGGAAAACTGTTATTCAAAGAAAACATGTTTGATTATTAATTCAATTGTATTAAAGGTTCATATCGAGATAAATACCAATAAAAAAAATCAATTTCAGACCTGTTCGAATTAGAAACCTCAAAGTCATTGACCAATGCACGTTATTTGTTAGTTAAATGAGGTATGATTAACCAATACATCTTGTAACTCAATGTACAGAGAACTTAACTATCACATTTAAAATTCCTACTTTGAAGTTGACCGGCACTCTAATACATAAAGGTTATGTTTGTTTACTAAAACAATTATTACTATTTATAATGACTCAATACATTCACCGGAAAGATTTTGACTGCTTCAGTACGATGTGAAAAAACATATTCATCATTCATACGACAAGGTGGGACACCTAGTTATTACATTCAAATCAAAAATAAGATCTTATAGTTCAACCAACGATATCGATTTAATTATATAAGCATTAGAATGCTTATTTTTATTTCAATAGCTTTGGCATTTTTATCCCACTACAGTTGTTGTACACACAAACAGATACAAATGAAAGAGTAATGTTCAAATAAATTTTAAATTCTATTGTAAAATATCTGATCTCCAGCAAATGGATTAAATAACGTTTATCGCATAACAAAGAAAACTCAGATTTTGGACCAATAGTTAAAATTAAACTTTAAAAATAAAAAGGTCATTTCAGTCTCATTAGTTGGTTGTTTGATTACATAAATATGGGCGGTTATTTTAAATAACACACTGGATTTTATATAGAAGTGAGTTGAATTAAATTTTCGTACGATCACAAAGTAGATATTCAACCATATATTAAAATCAGTTTATCAGTGTAGCACGTGTATTTCTTATCATAAGCCGACGATCATTACCTATAAGCCTTTCCGAATGTGGAAGAATGTGATACATCTGCATCTGAATAAATAAAAGTAATGCGTTCAAGTTGTTAAATTAGTTTATTGGAATGTGTACAATTTTAAATAACTTGATTAAAAGTATAAAGTTAAATCGCTTATACATGGGATATAAATGATTAGTAGTATTGCGTTTCAAAGATGTATTAGAGTGGTTAGACTCGGATACTAAAGTGGCTAGTCAATCAGCTGCGACGTAGAACTTCGTACGTACGTACATACATAAATTCAGCACGGCTACTGAGACCATTCGGAATAGGTATAGCACACGAAAACCAACAGAATCACTTCAATCAATCCTATGTAGACCAAAGGACAAATATCATCTACAAAATAAACTGCTCAGACTGTGAAAAACACTACATAGGACTAAGTGGTCGGCCTCTTCAGCTTCGTTTACGTGAACACCGATTAGCAGTCAAACGCCACATTTCTTCACTACATACGGACAATTATGGACACACATTCGATAGGAAAAATGTGGAAATACTGGATAGGGGGAGCACAAAGAACACTAGAGAATTTTTAGATGCTTAGCACTCAGGTCAATTAGCAATTAACAAACGCATCGACATTGACCCAATTTACAAACCAATCAGAAAAATCATAGGACATAGATCAAGAAACAGATCAGAAGGGGGATGCATTCAAAATAAAGGTGTGTACAAAGACAGGTTTAAGGTCAACAGCATCCAATCAAGAATGAGTTTAACAGATTAGGCTACGCGTCAAAAGTGGAGAAATTCGAATACTTCACTCCTATCTGCAGTTTGTACTGATGATGGTGTTCAGAAGAACAGTGAAAACTCCACAACCAAAACACTCAACTCAGAGAACGAAACACCACCACGACCATCCACCTAAGCTACAAATTTTCTCCACCATCACAAAACGGTATAATTGATCTCGAATAAGCGGAAAGCATGAAGAGCTACAGAGTAAGGAATAGTGAATCAAAGAAGCAAATTCTCCCTATACAGCTACAGTGCTAATCAAAAATATGTTGGTCATAATAAAAGTAATTTATGGAAGTTTTTAAGTTGAAAAGTAAAAAATTGGTACAATTTGTAACAGATGCATATATTTCAGGATAAGATTCATCTCAGCATAATACACGACAGGGGACTTAATAATTGCAGGAAAATAATGCAACTATGTAAAATAAAATACATAGCTATGATGCTTAACTTAGTATGTGAATTACACACTACTCAATGATAGTAATCGATGGTTTGAGATCTTGAATGACATGGCTCAAAACCGTTTGCAATGGCGCACGTGCATCCATTCTTTGTGCTCTCTCAAATCCTAATCTTCTGAACTCCTTATGACCGTTTTTATTCTCTTTTTTAACTGATTCCTCTGAGGTATGCATCTCGAACGATATATCCGATCATTAATCTCTCTGAATACTGCTAATACTTTTACTAGCTCTACTACGATGGATTTTGAATTGACGACTGCATCTGTGTGCTATTGTGGTACGGCAACTTGAACTGATGTACGTACGTACGAAGTTCTAAGTTGTAACTGGCTGACTGACACACTACTCAAGAACAGAATACATCTTGTTTTCGAGAACTATAAGTTTACTAGTAGATACTGTGACCAGTATATGCGCCTTTGAAGACTCTATTACTAAGATTAAACGACCATCCAAGGCTTTTGGGTTTTAAGTGAAATATAACAGTTTCAACAACCCTATACTGATAATAGTGTGACAAATTAATTAAACGAACCTATAGATACAAAACTTCAGTTTGAGAAGTCAAGTAACTAGTCGAAATAAAATTAACACTGTTTTGAATATTGCAAAAGTATATAAAAATAAATAAGTATCCATATAAAGATTTTATTTGCGTTAGCATTTCACAGATACTTTGGTGGCCCAGAATCTGACTCAGATTTGGACGAACGATTAAATATACTATGAAATAAATCTTTTATTCTTAGGAGAAACTCGTTCGTGCGACGGCAGTAATAAAGAGCAGAAAACGGATTTAGTTGGATGAATTTACTTCACACAGTTTTTCACGTCGATGGAGGCGAGGATAAAACGCAGGAAAGCGAAGTAAAGAAGGAGAGTGGATCAGCACAACTTGAGACATGACTGAGTATTTGTAGGCAGGATAAATAATCTACATGTGGTCAACGAAGTTAGCAATGCACAGACGCACTTAAACAAAAGCCAAATAATAAGCGAAGTGTGAATAACTCAAAAATTGATTAATTAATTTGTCTAAAAACTGGGACAAGCCCTGTGGGCTCGACTTACTAAGGCACACTACAATACCCACGAACTCAATGGTTGAGTAGGATTGAACTGAAAAGCTAGGAAAACTACCAAATGAGAGCCAATGAACATCACTTAACATCTAGGTAACATACATTTAGAAAGCCAAAAATACTAACATGCACATATATTTCGAGCGATTCATGAAGTGATACCATACGTTCATATGATTTGAACCAAAAGTTCTGTTAAGAACCATGAAGCATCAAGAAGGAAATCCCATCTGTAAGTCTCAGCGACTGAAGTTTAATTCAATTCGGTCCAAACACTTCCCTTTTCCGAACGAAACGTTGGGTTTACTCAAAGTACAATGGTTGAGACATACAAATACTATTTCTCTCTTTAATGTTTTACATTAACTCGGTGCCCTATCACTGTGAAACTATTCGTTTCAATTTAGACAAAAGTTCTTATAATAGTGAAATTTGTTTTCAAGACCTGCCTCACGAGAGCGATTCCCAAACTGAGTTTGTGGAACGAAAAGTAGGAAAGGTAAACTGGTAAAATTAAATACATTGAAGAAATCGATTACTAGTGATTAGATTTAATTAGAATACTTGTATGTTTATTTATTAAACACTGTGATTTATTAGTTTCTTTTAAATTTCGATGATAGATAATCGACTAAGTAAATGAATTTATTAATCTATGGTTTTATTTGTACATAGACCTGGTAAAAATTCTTTCAATATCATTAGTATTCATATAATTTGAGATATGATGTTGTTATTTGTTTTCACGTTTTTAATATGCAAACATGTGCATTAAAATTAGACGATCAAATTATCACACTCATACTTTTAGTCAGTCAAAATGTGTATCAAACTGACTAGCATAAATATGTATGATCTTATGACATAAATTAATTTTCAATTACATGTGTATACGCGCATATTGAACAACACCATAGATAGGTGGACTCAATTTAAAGCGAATTCACATAATAAATCATAAATCAACAATTTATAATCATATTATACATTCATTCCTTATTCACATATCAATGAAAAACCGCTTTATTAAAACAGTGTATGTAACAAATGAGAAGTATTTGTTTTTAAAAAAAGAATATATATTAAAATTAATGCTATTTTATTACGAAAATCGATATAACAATGATCAAATATGAAAAAAAAACATGCGGCTAAAGGAAAAACATCGATAGCAAAAAGGAGTAACGAAGAGTTATAGATATAATAAGAGGAGAGTACAATATAACAATATCTTCTTCGTTAACATAACGTGATTTGAGAATTATAAAAATCAGTGTAATTTATTTGGAATAGTAGCCTACATTCCAACAACACTAAATGAGGTATATTGAAGAAAGGAAAGAAAATAGAGTGGAAACCGACAAAAATTAAAAAGGTTAATAATAGAAAGAAAATATTTGAGATGAATAATATGCAAACATAAAATGCAAACACTGAAGTGTGCATTTTATCCACAAAAAAAAAATTGAAATTTTTTTATAAATTGTGATTGACAGATTACACATAGATTTCTTTCTAACTAGATGAACTTATTATGTTAGAAATAAATTATAATACTGTTAAATAGTATAAACTCTTCTTATGAATTAGAGAATCCAACAACAACTGACTTTGACACTATGTCAACCAATTTCTAAAGTAGATAATTCTGAGAGTTAGACAAATAATGAAACCATAGAGTGAATAATAATAAGTTGAGATGGATTAAGATGAAAAACATCCCGATGTAAAAAACAAAGATGAGTGCCGAAAAAAAAAAGACCGAATCTAAATGTGCTAAAACTGAGATAAGAAGCGAATGAATGTACCAACTTAAATAACTGTACGTAGTTGATGTAGGAGACACTTCAGTTGTTGAATTATATTCGTATATGTTTGATACATACAAGAGAATAGGTCTCTAGGGAAAAATTTAATTACATTAAGATAGACAATGAAAAAAGTTGAATAACAATAATACTGTATTATTGTTCCATAAAAATTACTTTTTTTTTTTAATTTAAAGAAGCAAGTTGTCATTTTAGTCAGTATAAAGGAATGAATGATACAAGGTATAAATTTAAAACACTGTGTATCAAATGAATACAAAATGGAATGATGAAAAACAAATTAACCAACTGACAAGGGAATATAAAACTTTTAAACACAATTATATCATCTTCATGTTGGTTTACGACCACATATACTATAGGCAAAACGTTCATAGTCTAATGCACCAGAATCTCCCATTGGTCCATTTAATACAGACATATTCTGTAAACAATATTCAGCATCATCGGTAGAAAGACGTTCTTTGATATCTTGAGCAGTGATGTAGCCCTATAATAATGATAACAAGAGATTAAAAAAATTACATTTTTGTTATTCAATGGAATAATAGATTAGGAAGAATGGAAATCCATAACATTACAAGTAACAACTGATAAAGCGATCAAATCTTGATCTCAATATCATGACGGATAGATATTTACAATATTCACTAATTTTTCAAAAACTGACTCAAAATGAACTTCAGTTCAAACTGTAAGGGACTGACAACGCTATCAACTGACTTATACAAGTTATAGATTGGATAATTCGAAGAGTAAATGAATTTTTTTGCATCATGTTTAAGATGGAATGTTGCAGACTTTTTAATTTCACATTATCTGCACAAAAGAGCGATTTCCTAAGATTATCTGGTCATCGACAAAAATGCGGCACCAAAAGTTGATAGTGTTAAACAAGTTGAACATGGAGCTAAATGTTGTGCGTGGAACGATACATATTTTCCATGTAGCTGGCTAACTTGATCATCTGATTAGGTAGGTCTTTTAAATGCATTACAAAGAGCAGTAACTCTCGTACTCCCAAGTTGGAGACCACATTACTTTTTATTCAGACTTAAAATTAATGGTTATGGGAAACCGTTAAGTTGATATATTCGCTTTAGCTTGTTGATAAAGACACTAAACACGTAATAAAAAAGAAAGGAACCGAAAATAGCGGGATATACACAAACTGAGCTACAGTACAAAAACAGGAAATTAGAGTAAATTAACCAAGGATTTAAGTGGAAAACTTGAGCATACAGTTGTCTAGAGCCTAAAGACTTGTCTTTAATAGAACACTGATGACTGTCGGAAAGGAACTGTCAGAAAGTCAATTCTTCAGATCGCTACCCTAATTTGTTTAATTAAAATGAATACCAAGTGAATTTTGCAATTTTGATAAAATTGTGCAAACAGTTGCATACATAACTATGTGTACAACTAAACTAAAGCATGTGATAACGATTTTTTAAACACTTGAATGATTTATAAAATATAAAATTTGCAGTAGGATAGGGATTATTAAAACCACAGTTATACAATAGTCTGTGAATACTAGTTTACCTTATCGCCTCCCATTGTTTTAAATGATTGAATAAGTTGTTCTTCAGTTGCCTCATCAACATCATCTTTTGTCATAAAGTTTAAGAATGCATCGAATGATATACGACCTGTATGACCGGGATCCACTTCACTAATAATACGTGAGAAGTCCGTTTCCGCCTGACAATTTGAAACAAATAAATAAAAAACGATAAAAGAATAAGGAATAGATTTTTTTACAGATAATAACAAAAAGATTGTTGAATCATTTGGATTTCTGTAATCAAATAATACGAACCAATTATTTATTTATCGAATACACATAAATACTGGTATGAAATGGGCACCACGATAAATATGTACCACGCAAATAAGAAAATGATGTGAAGCTGTAGAAGAAGGAGGAGGTAGGGTCAAAACAAAAAGCCGTAAAAAATGTGGACAAAAAGTTTGTAATCAGGGAAACACATCAGCATCTTTAATATAATCGAAAAGATTTCTTCTCATTAAAGAAACCATTTCGACTTATCAAAAGAATGAAATGCTATATTACAGTACGATCACCATCGACTTGTATCAAATCATGTTTAACAACTTTTCAAGCTGCTACGGGTCTCTTTCAGGGAGTCGTGATGAAACATTGGGAGCCAATCTTTAACATTTTTCTACACCACAACTTTTATATAATTTCCAACCAGGAGTAGAGTCAGAAATAACGCACGATGTGGAAGCCACCGGCATCAAGCAGGTTATTGTAACAGTGTCAGAGAACACATTACAAACATGACGTTGCCACTGAATCTCAGTAATTTCTCGGAGATAACCATGATAGAACATAGAGTCATCGAACATCATTTACTAGGAGAGACCAGGTTTTGCAAGCAAATTTCAAAGCTAGTCTCACCGATGTGCTGTAAGCCCGACCTATTATAACCACATCAACATCACGACAGCACCAAAGATAGCCTATATTGCTACAACCTCTATGACTCTCACTGTATTTAAATTAATCTCTTTACTTACGTCATCGACAGCACTCATACGACTACCCAGACAGACGAACATTTAGACTACTAATGGCTTACCATTAAGATTAAGTGCAGACACAAGCTCTTATCAGACTTGTTAAAGTAATTTGCATTTGGAAGTTTCAAAGTACATATCATACCTACGAATATTGATTGTGAACTGATTAAGTAAGATTCGTGTACCTTGAGTGCTAAATAAGTACAACTTCATGTACTGAGTCAACTTCACTTTAATGAACACGAAACAAACATGTGACTAATGACGACGGCAACAATCAACCGATGATATGTTGTAGAGAACTGATGGCATATGATAAATTAGATTTTATTTTGCTTGATTGTTGTGTTATCTTTATTCCAACTTCGACAAGATTGATTGACTTAATGAACTTCATCAAACCTCGTTATTTCTTTGTAACATTATAATAATAGATATAAAACAATATCTACAGTTAGTGTACAAGGATGAATAGTTAGTGAAGCTAATAGTTCATTGTTTAAAAGCTTGTGTTTCAAATAGCTCAGTTCTTTAATGAATATATTTTGGTACTGTGAAAATACTTGATTTCTTCAACGATGAATTTACGCACTGGTATCAACTAACATCAACTTAGGAGTGAAAACCCAACATTACTAATATTTCCTTTCAAAAGCACACATTTTTGAAAAAAATAAGAATTTAATATAAAATAATCTTTTTTCTGTAGTGTAATTTCCCTCGGTGTAAATGGTAAGTGAGCATTCACCATGTACTGGATATCTGTTATTTTATGACAAACGACAACTCATTATGTGAAACTTTCTTTCCTAAAAAAGGGAAATTGTCTCTATTTAACAAGTAATTATTATAATATGATTATAACTAACTACAGAATTTTAGGAATGATTTGAAAAATCTCTATTGAATTGTTGATTCAACACTCTATTTACTGAATAGTAATAACTAGCTGTTGATGTATCTAATACCACTGTATGAACTGAATACTGCTGCTTCTGGTTATGATGATGATGATGATGATGACAATAAACGGTAAAATAATTGTCATTACACTTAGTGACTAATAAACTGGTTCTTCTTCCTCAATCAAAATCGAGTTGAGTAGAACTAGGAGAACAAATACACAAAGCAGAATAATGTGAATTCATTTTATTTTGTAGTTTCTCATCAACTACTTACAACTTAAACATAATTATCAAAAATTAGCAAGCATACTTTAAGTTGTACTATAAGAAATGTTTTCATCGATAAACACTAATAAAACAAAAATAAATATTGTTGAATTATAAGAGATAGTGGAATAATGTCAAGTGATATGAAAACTCTAGAAGAAACCATTTTACAAATCGTATGAAGGTAGGTTTTAGAAATAAGCATTTTTTTTCATGGTTTGCATTTTTTGAAAATTCTAATTGATTATGACCTAAAGACCATAAGACTAATAAGTAATTAAATAGATCATTTGAAATTATTGGATTGGTAATGGGTAAATAAACTATACCAGATAAAACAGAGAATAGACTCAACACGTCATTATCTATTCTTATTATGGATGTAAAATTAAACTTAAATTAACATTGTATATAGATCACAGTTAAGATTATGTAGCGTACAATTTTTTAAAAAAAGAAGACATTTAAACAAGGTGAAAAGGTCAATCTACGATATAGAGATTTTTGACAGGTCAGTCTTTTAAAGTTGCCCTTCGTTTAAATCAATTAGGTTTTTCACTTTTAGAGAATACAAATAAAACCACAGAATTCTTGAAGTAAACCGATACAATTTCATTTTAGAAATTAAATAACCAGTGTAACAGTTGTACAAACTTTCATCGACTAGTTGACTACAATAAATCGTGCCATTAAAATTAACTAGTAATCACGAGGAAATATAGCAAAATGAATTAGCATTAGTGATGAATATTTCCGCTTTTTCAGATTTATCATTTGTTCGCTGGCTGAATGTTTATTAATTTTATTTTCACCTATTCGATGGCTAACTAACTAATCAATAGGATATGACTTGAAAAAAATTCATTCACAGAGTTAAATTATTCAAATTACTCGATGATATTGACAACACACTACTCTAATCAGTCAAACGAATCGAGGTAAAGATATGAAATTTAATTCGAAATTTAATCATGAAATGTACAATATTAATTAGAACAACACATATAAGCGAACAATATTGTTTTCGATTAGATCGTCATCAGGCTTTACTCTAATATACATGAATATTTATATGAAAATGTTAAACCAATCAAGGCAATTTGAGTGATAATCACAATGAAATGAAAAAGGCAAAAGTACAAGTGGATAGTAGGAAGATAGGTGAACCGATAGTAGTAAGAAAATTTATAAAATATGATAACTAAAGTAGGTCAAGGGTGGATGAATAGAATTCAAATAATCATCAAAAAACATCAAAAACATTACGTAATAAGCAGATGTGTAAAAATAATAAAATTAAAATAAATAAAATATATATAATGTCAATCGTTAGTTACGTCATATCCGGCCACGGAAGAGATAGGGGTGTCACGAATTTCTTCTGAACACATAAATTAGGGTTGAATGTGCGTATTCCTATGGCTTCTGCAATGTGTAGGAGACGGGATCAAACTCCGTTGGGAAATGATGGAGGTATACGATAGATCACCCGAAAAGATCTAGATTTATCTACAATGTGACCACTATCTACCAGGTGTGCTAAGATAGAACTGCGTATTGTTTTTGACTGACCCTTTGTAAACCATGCTGGGAGATGTTCACTCATTCGTTGTGTAAGTTGCCTGGAAGTACGCCCGATATAGCTATCTCCACAGGAGCAGCTGAATTTGTAAATGCACATAGAGGAGGCCAACTCAGGTAACTTATCCTTCGTTTGGGTAGACATCGCTGAGTTACAGTAAATGAGTGCATGTGTCTGTGAAACATGAATCAGTGAAATATAGAACAGGTTTCTATGACAACAGTGACTATAAATTTTGTTAGAAATAATTCATCTCACTTTCATTGCCATTGATGTTACATCTGAACAAGCCAGCAGTAAAAAAAACTAACACAAAAGTACACACTTATGCTCAAGAATAATTATTTAGGATGATTTACAAATTATGCAATCGTAACAAATAGAGTCCAAGCATTTCAGATGTATGACAGTTATCCACCTCAGGCAATGAATGACAGATTCACAATACCGTAAGGTGATTGAAACTAAGCATTAATAGTGTTGGATGTCGGTTCAGGCACCTGCAGCTTAGGCGTTTACGTGCTAGACCGAAATTCATGGATCCGTTCTCAGATGCAGGATCAGAAGTGCGTACTACTGAGAAATCCTGTACTAAGAGGAAACGGACCTCCAGTACTTCTAGGATTTCAATGTTTTAACAGGGATCAGTTAGTGATTCATATCATGAACATTTTTTGTCATTCCAACAAACCCTTACACTCATAAATATCTAATAGATCAATAATGAGCATAAAATTTAAGAATATTAAAATAATTCCTATCTGCCTGAAACATGTATGTGTAGAAGTCATATCGTTATACGATCATTTCGTTTTACAAATTGATTTTTTAAATCATTTTATTAACAAAGTTTGTCTGTTTATGTATTAATTTGAATTTGATTTATATCATTACTAGTTATTTTGATATGAACGGTACTCCAATTATGAACGCTAACGATGTTGACCGATTTTCCAAAACTGAAGTACCTGGACCAGTCAAACACCTAAACCATTGACTGACCACTCAATTTGAACATCAGCAATTCTGGAGATTTTGTTACATAGAAACGATTTAATCATTATTTGAATTTAAGTGTCCGAGACAAAGATTGGATAACTACACGGGATACAGTTGTCGATTGTTTAAACTATTTTTCTTTTATTTAAAAGATGAGTGGCACAATCGAAAAAAGTTTAAAAGAATATTTCATTTTAAAACTACGTCAAACTAATAAACTGGAAAGATCATTGTGAACTAAATTCCAAGTTAAGGAAACCAGCAGCAAAATCATACCGGTTATAATGTATAAATACGTATATATTTTCAAAATTCATAACTATCACGTTTACGTGAACAAGTTAGCTGATAAACTCCGATAGATTGTTAACAAATGAATCAATAGTAACAAATGGAAGCACCATGTGGCATATGAATAATTTGTTTTTCAATTCTACAGTGCTTTGATTACACATAGTCAAACAAATATGCATACATATCAACAAACAAAATATGAGCACGTTATATGATGGCCTAACGATTATCTCTTTCAAAAACTAGGTCACATGGTTGAAAAATCAACATTTGAGTTTTACAATTGTGCTACAGTTTTTTCAATGCATTAATTCATATACATGAAACGGATACAATTGTGCACAGATACATGTGCAAATATCATTGGGTTGTATACACATATAGAGCAAACAGGATTCATATCAAAAATTATCTATTGAGTGGAATGGTTTATTTAGCAATTCAACCTCTTTACTCATATGAACAGTAAAATGAAAGTACATGTGATAATCGAAATTGTTCTAGTTGTTTTATAAATGAAAGAATTTCAGTGAAAATTTATTGTCTTCAACTTAAAACATGATCAAAATTATTGGTGAATAATATGCCATTACACTACAAAAAGGACAGGAATAGAGGAAAATTTTCAAAATATACATAAAGATACGATTCAATCATAAATGACAAATAAGAAATATTAATGAATCGGTTTTGTAGAGATTGATTTAATTTTTTTTAGATGGTGTTCATCACAGACTGGTCTCAGTTAGAATATATTGGAAATAAAGAAACACTGGATAATTGTTTAATCTTAGCACGGTACCTCTTCAGAAGGGTGCAATGGTGAACTCAAGCAACAGATCAAACCTAGGATCCTGAGGTCTTGCAGTGTGTTTCACTATATACACAGACAGCCATATACTCTGAATGTTAAAACTGAAACATGAAGCCAGGTGTGAGTGTGTAGTTTAAGAGCACAAACTATCACGCAAGTTTCGCACAAAGTGTAGGTTTCTTTCAACTGACTGGTCACAACGATAACACCTAGTGCATAGTGGTGTAATAGTTCAGGATGCTAGCCTTCGAAACAAGAAATTTAGACAAAAAAGTCAGGAATGGATTCGCTTATTTCAAAAACGCCTAGTTGGAATGAGAAAGCAAAATAAAATAACATTCCACTTGAAACTACTGGATGCCCACGACTATTAATTAATTCTTATTTGTGAGCTCAAACAGTAAACCTTCCGTCACTGATGCTGATCTACACATAAAGAAACATCCTTCGCATTATCCACACTTTTTTTCTACCCAAAATCACACATCAAGTTTAGAAGTAAATAATAATACGTAAAATAAACTTCAACACTCGATCACTGGAATAAATATGATTTGCCACTATATCAACTAAAGATTAAAAAACTAAAATTCAAGCCGTTTATGAATATACGAATAAAAAGTGCTTTATGGTTGATCAATCCATATATTTAGATAAAGTAAGCACCAAACACCATAGACAGACCTTTGATATATAATAATGATAGTTTGGAGTTATTACGCTAGCAACTACTCGGTGATTGATTGTACTCACTAACTGTTTATCTATACCAATACAAGGCTCATGTGTATAAAAAATTTTTTCAAAAACTAATGTATACATATTTATTTACTGGAACTCATAATTATTGGTACATAGGAGCAACTAAATATTTGTGCGCCACACAACTCAATGAATTTGTGTGTGTGTGTGTTTACATACTGATCGGGTGCCCATACTAAAGCAAGTGGTCTTCTTAGGAAGTCTCCGGCTGAGCTTTTGACCCAAAACTCTAATCCACAAGGTAGTGGAGCAACGTTAGGAGATTTTGTCCTATAGTAGCCGGTAACCAACAATTGGTTCATGTGTTATTTGTTCCTTCAGGAATGTTGAGTTCATGTGCAGCATCAGTTTGGAATCAGGGTTTTCTAACTCCTTTAGGTGGATCCTCCATACTCACAAACCCAGGTTAGGTGCCGTAAAGTCGCTTTTCAATCCAATTTTGTAAACAACACCCCCGATGCGAGAAAGTGGTCAGCAGAACTACTCTGATATTTGCTATATACACGCGGTTATATGAGGGCATTTCGAGAGAGAGAGAGAGTGGACTCTTCTCAGTTTCAGAAGCATCGGGGCATTTGATTATGCAAAATACAATGAATAACAAAATGCAAATGTATAAACAATATCTGTTTATGACAAGTAAACAGACTGAACTGATATTGAATTAGACGAAGAATACAGTGACCGGCTGGACAATACTTGGCATAAAACTATTCAGAAAATTTCGTACATATATATCTGGTCTAGAGCGTACTTTGAATTTAGCTTAACAGGTGTACGGAATGTGAGGTCCTCTAAGAAATGCATCAGTTAATGCAGTTGAAAACAAGAAAAAATTTCTCAACCTTCAGTTCTGCCCAGATAAATGTAGAATGTAACATGTAATTTCAATGAAGCTAGTAGATGAGCAACTCATTTACAATAAATTTGAAACACTGTCGATATCACTATTTTATTGTTAATAAAACTATCTATGGTACGTTGATCAAAAGCCGTTATGAGACTTAAGGAGAGTCTGATAAGCAGTGATGTCTAATTAAGAAACAGATGAGAACAAATGATATATAAATTTCACCGAATTATTTACTATCCACAATAACTTAAACATTAGATTTTGTTTAACACAATTTACTGAATACTTCCATTCAACTTATCAAATGAACAGAAATTAAAAATGAATGAACACTGAAAGGTTTCACACATTGGGCATTCGTATTAATCTGTTTCGTGACCTTTAAAGACGGTCACTCAATAATGTGAATTTCATAGAGCTAAAAATGAATAGTATGCGAATCCAAGGGTTCCGAGTCAGTGTTTTAAATAAACTCAATTTCTGGTAAATATGAACGAACTTTTTGGGGAAAAAATGGAATTTGAATGTTCCGAAAATCCCAATTTGCTTACATTGCTTACCGAATATCGTCCTACAATATCAGCTAAAATCTTGAACGGCTGATACTGACATGAAATAGAAAAACACCAACCACCTTATCATCATAACTCAGATCACAGGCGTCACAATTTTCATCTTTATCTAATGTCCCCCTTTTGCTGAGTCAAGTATCAGACAGCACATTGACAAGGACATTGCTGAAGCTGTAGTCCGTCACCAGAACATTCAATTAAAAACAATGTATGACTTTATCTGTGACCACTTACAATAAATCTTATCACAAAATAATTACAAAAGTTAGGAATCATACAAACAAAATCGTAACACTAACCTACTGAAAAGTAATTAAAACTGCAATGTCTATTAAAAAATCAGAAAGCAGACAAATTTCAATTAAACTTAAATATATTATTACATAGAATTATGAAGACGACAGATTAATTACCAAAGTATACTATAGAAAATATAGGCAACGCTAATAATAACAATAATGGTAATAATAATAATAATTTACTTTATTCCGAAATAGATTTAAATCATATAGTAGCCCCTATAGAATTATAGCCTAACGAATGGTAGGAGGGAGATAGTATTGACCAAATTTAACCTAATAATGTATTGCTTAGTTTACTTCGTGATGCCAGTAAATATTATTTGTTATGAGGATATGATTATTAATCGTGTTGTAAACATATGATGATTTAAGTAAATCCGTAGAAAACCTGTCCTTTAAGTCATCATAGCAAATTTGTTGAGGGTAATTGGGTAAGAAAGTAATAAACGTTTCAATGATATATATATATATGGGTACGTAAGCTGCAGAGAATAAAACCTGGGAGCAGAACAATGATTTTGCTTTTCTTTTCTCTTGGTTATTATTTTCACGAAACTTTGATAAACCATGAAGTTCTGTGTTATTCAGTGAGACTGATATTAGTAATAAGTAAGATAAAACCTGACACACATGTAGTGACCCAAGTTGTCAAATCACATATTAGCACAGTGAGATGAAATTTAAGAAATGAATACCAAGATAGTAACAGTTAGAGTAATAGTAGTAGTATTAGTTAGGCAGTGGATCAATGGTCAAGGAGTTCAACTCTTAGTCATAAGATCTCAGAGTTGAACCGTGTTTTAGCTATTTCTATATGAGTAACAGGGTTGTATCACTAGCCCTAACACTTACAGTGTGGCTTGAAGCCAAAGAAATTAATGAAAAGTCAGTGATAGCAAGATTAAGATTACAAACAGAGAAAATGATTAGAGGAAGAATATTGAAACTCGAGATCTAAGGGCAACAAAGAATAGAAGCGTCTGTGATACTGTGACCAATTTCGAGCCGTCACCTAACACCTCCGATCATTTATCACAAGTATCAAGCGAACTCTATTTAAATAATCTGCTCCTAACAAAGAAACTCAAACAAATAAACAGTAACTCCATAAATCGATATTACTAAAACATTTCAGTATTTAATATAAAAGCTATATTTAAAAATATAGAACTACTTAGTAAGCAGGATAAATTTCATGAGCCACAAACTTCCTGGTTATTGTCTAGTAATACGAGTCAATTGTACTAACTAATATAGATGGTGTGTTTTGAATACGTAATCTAGTGATCCGAAGTTAAGCGATGTAACCGCTGAACTAGGAATCATCAGAATATGAGATAGTGTTCCTATCCTATATTTTGGATAGCAGGAACTAAGGAGACCTCTCTAAGGGTTCAAATTTACGATCATTTTAGGATTATATATATATATATATATATATATATATATATATATATATATCTGACAAATACAAAAACTTCTGACGTAAAATTGGATATTTCGGAACTTACGCATACAGAGCCACGAGAACCAGATGTCAAATTTGACAATGACTGTTGTGAAACAAATAGAAAAATTGTAATAATTAATAACCTGAAGTATAATAAATGGTACATTACTAAGGGTTTCGTGACGGTTACTTTTATCCATTTCTTAATCCCTAAGTAGGTTCAATTTCTCCAATGAGCGGAGCACGGACATAGAGGTTAAAGTAATCAACCTTCGGTCACTAAGTCTCAGATTCCAGCTTGATTTACTTACTTTAGACTGGAAAACAAGGTAGTACCACTAGCATCTATACTTAGAGTGTGGCTAACAACCAAGTACCTGCTGAATGATTTAATTATCCTTTTTCCAAAAAAGCTATCCAGTGCACGTGTTTAGTTTACATGAGATGAAACTGAGAGACCTTAATCGCCTACTTACATAAACTAATAAATGCTTAGACAATAATAATTTTCAGAGATAGTAGTTCGGTCAAGAAGTATATCCTATTGGAAAAGGTCATTAAGGTATTAATGATAATGAACGGATAAGTATTTACCGAACTTTAATGTTTTATTTCCAAGTTTAAACAAAACATTCCCCGTTAGGGAATGTACTATTTCTTGAAAAATGAATGTGAATCAGTAGAAAAAGTTTTAGATCTCGAATTCGAGTTTTTAAGGCTTTAGTGCAAAGCTGAATTCGACTCCATAAAAGTTGTATTTTTAATATCTGGAGTGCTAACAAAACGTTTTTCCCCTTTCTCGATTATTGGGGGCTGGCTCAAGAATAACATGGAACGAATACGGTCGAAAGTTGTTGTTTTGATCTACGCAGTTAGAAGACAAACTAAGAGTTTATGAGGAACGTAACAGCTGAAAAGTACAGATTGAATAGAATTGAACCAGTTAATTGGGCAACTAAGAAATGAAAGCAATGACTTAAATACATGATCATCGTGCCTTATATTAATCTAATAAAGTCCCACAACATTAACTAAAAGGGTATAAAATAATAGATTGATGATTTCAAATGTGTAAAAACGCAAACATCCAAAACTGTGCCCCAAAATATCGTAACAGTGCTCACTAGTGACTAGCTTCGTGAGGAAATTCTCGGAGTTCTAGTTGAGAAGACGTGACCAATGGAGTTCAACCCTGTCGGGTGTAGGCAGTAACTACCAAAGACAAATGGGTGAGGTCGCGCAAAATCCCTAGATCAATCAGAGTTAGACATTAACACCGTTGGATGCCAGCCCATCGGTCCGATGGTTAGGCGTTCGCGCACAATACCGAAGGTCCCGGGTTCGAATCCTGCGAGGAGCAGGAGTCGTGGATGCGCACTGCTGATAAGTCCCATACCAGGACGAAACGGCCGTCCAGAGCTTCCACGTTTCTAATGGTGGTCTAACAATGATTGATTGATGATTTCAAATGTGTAATAGATAAAGTATTTGGCTGAACACTAAAGTATGGTGTTAAAAAGGTTTGAATCTTATAGCATTTGAAATAGATTAGTAGGACACAATGACATTACAAGTATTAGATAGTAAGTGATAGCAATAATGATAATAATTACTACAACTCACATTTTTTATATCATCTCTAAAATTATAACCCAATGAAACAAGACAAGCCTTAAATTCATTTGGTTCTAAATGTCCTGTGTTATTCTTATCAAAATGTTTGAAGCAAGTACGCAAATCATTCATTTGTTCAGCTGTTAATCCTCTGGAATCTCTTGTCAATATCTGGTTGTCTATTTCATTGACAGAATAATGTAATAAAGTGAATAGTTGTTCCCAAGCAACACGTAAGGTTGGCATTGAGTAAACAGTATATGGATTTTCAAATATGTATGCATCTTCCAGTTCCTAGGTAATAATAATAGTAATAATAATAATGACAGTAGTAATAATAATAAAAATATGTAAATCAAATCAAAGCACTATTTGAATCAGCGGAGTCTAGAACGCGGGTTTTTTTTCTATTTGGGATTCGCCATATTTGGATGTAAACACCTACATCTAAGCATCCATGTTCCCATTGAGATTCGATCAACAGCAGTCTTTAACATCAAACAATATTAGTCCCTCATACCCTAAAATATACATCAAGAGGGGTACAAAACAGGAGACCGACTTATATTTAGCGATAAAACACGAAGAAAATTCACTGTCGTTTTCGAAAGGAAATTCTCTACAATAAACAGGCATATTCACGTAAGCAAAAACTTTAAGTTTAAGTTGTTGCATTCTTTTTCTAGCTCAATCTAGATCGTCGTCACAGTTGTTTACGATTTATTCAAAGATAAAGAGTAAATGTATTCGTATTACAATTAGTGAGTTAACAGATGGTTTGTGTAAGATAATGATGTTTTTGTGAATTGTTTGTCTAATAAGAATTTGAGAAACTATGATCTCTCTTCAATGGATTGTAAAAGGTTGGTCATTTTGACTAAGGACAATAGAAAAAATACGTGGATCAATATTTTATTCGACATTCCGCTAATTATCAAGTGCAAGTTGTGAAACCAACTACAATTATCAATTGAGTGTCGTAAACAACCTAAATTTAATAGGTTTGTTATGACCAGCAGAGTACAATATAACACTTAGCCTAATAACTACGATGTTTCACTTCTCGATGAGTATAAAACGAAAACTAGATATCCAAAGATGGAACTAAGAATTAAACATCACAGCTGACATATTGTGATAATTAAATAATACTAAACTAACTAGACTACTTGTTCGTTTAGGTCCTACCATGCCACGCAGGTTGGTCGAAGAATGGTAAGACAGAAGACAGCAAATCAAGGCCCAAGGGCGAATCCATACTGCTGACTGCACAGAAATGTGACAGAATTAAGCTTTCCCAAATATAAGCATCGTCTACAGAAATGCTGCCTTCTCACAACGAACAGAAGTAACAAAATGTCAACCCTGACAATATCACACCTCAACTTATCCTATGGATTGACGTTGAGATGGTGGAGAAGATTTGTAGCTCCGGTGGATGATTGTTCTCTGAGCTCAGAGAACCAAACACCACCACCACAATGGATTGACGTCTCTGGCAATAGGGCCTTTTGAAGTTCGAAGCTAATATATAAAAATCTAGCTACAAAAAGGCTTTACGCGACCAATCTAAGATTGTCTCTTTAGACCTGTGCTCCATTAAATCACCGCTACTTAAGTTTCTTTCCAGATACTTCAAAAGGAAAGGTAAATGAGAGAGAAATAGTATTTAGGTTAATTGACCTGATTAACGTGTTCTAATTCATTTAACTTATTTTGATGTTTATTTAATTCTTCTTCCAATTTCTGTAAATAATTTCGTTGATCTTCTAATGAGCTATGTGATTCCATGCTAGCTTTAACGATTTCTGCACGATGCGTTTCAATAGATGAATTGAATGCTTCAGCTTTCTTTGCAAATTCGCGTCGTAATTTCTCATTTGCCAGTTGACGTTCACGTTCATTATGTAATAATGCACTTCTTTTTTGCGTTAATTCCCGAATCATATTCCAACGTTGTGGAAGCTCCTGTAGAATAAAACAGAAAAAATAAGTAAACTGAATTAAATTCTTCAAAAGCTAGTAGACCTTTCAGCACAGTTCATAATAAATTTAGTTGTTGATGATTGACAGAATTAGATTGGTTTTTTTTACATATTACGACAGTTAATGGAGTAAAACAAACCAATTAATTCGCCTTATTTGAATATTATTTGGCAAATCGAACTAAGTAATATTTTGCCAAGATTTAGAGAAAAGAACAAAACGCGACAATACACTAATCATCGTTTAAAATCTAATTTTTAATAAAGAATTCATTTGTAACTGGTTCGCATCACAACCGAGAATAAGAGAACGCAAAAAAGCTTTGAATATCTCGAAATTTTCAGTCGGTTATAAAGCATAAATTAACTTTCGTATTCAACATACAGCGGTTACATTAGGTCAATGAAATTAAACGGTCATGAGACCACAGTAATAAAATAACAGCTATCTTTGAAAAAGTCTATATGAGATGAAAGTAGAAAATGCACTATAGTTGACAATTAGTGTGTTTACTGATCAAGATATGTACTTCACAAAAAATGACAGTATAATGAAGCAATACATGTGAAGAAGTAATCAGTCAGTCAGTCAGTTGCAACGTAGAACTCCGTACGTAAGTACATCAGTTCATGTTGCCATACCGCATCAGCACAGAGATGTCATTGTCGATTCAAGTCCAATAGTATAATAAGTAGTAAAGGTATTAGAAGTAATCGGAGAGGTTAGGATTAGAAGATATTATTCAAGAAGTATGATTCAGTGAGAAAAGTTTAGAAAGTCAAAACTAGAGGTGTTGAAGAATCCAGAAGATTAGGATTTGAGAGAACACAAAGAATAAATGCATCTGCGCCATTGCAAACAGTTTTGAGCCATGTCATTCAGGGTCTCTAACCATCGATTATTATCATCTCGCGGACCCCAACCAGGTAGTCGACAGTTACCGACATGGCTAAGTCCACTCGTCAATGACTTCATGGATTTCTGCCATGTTTTGGTTTGGCCGCCCCTAACTTTCTTCCAACCTACTCCTACACCACAAAACAAAGCTCGACGAGGCAGTCGGTGGTTGGGCATACGGAACACATGTCCCAACCACCTCAACTGATGAAGTTTCAATGCTTCATCTATTGATCTGCCATTCTTACCTAGCACCCGTTTCCTAATAACAGCGTTGCTCACTCGGGTGTCCCACGATATACGAGCAATGCTTCGAAGACACCTATGATCGAAAACCAGTAACCTACGAATATCTTCTACTCTCACTGGCCATGTTTCACAGCCATAAAGTAAGACGGGGCGAACTACTGCGCAGTACACTCGTCCTTTAGTCAGTAAACGGATATCTCGCCTACGCCATAAGTGACGCAACTTGGCTAAAGCCAATCGAGCCTTCTGTATCCGAGCTGAGAAGTAATGCTCGGTATAGAAGCCACTGGAATAATTTTCTTCGTAAAACTTCAGACAGTCACTGAAGTATAAGTTTTAAGATGCTTACAGATACTTATAGAATAATGGCCTCCAATGTTTCCGAAAATACGTCAGTACATTAGTGTCAGCCATGATAATAATAGTCAAACATACAATCGTTGAACATCCTCCGGAGAGATTAATTTTCTCAAGCCGAGATCAGAACTCGAACCGTAATCAGACCGAATGCATGACGGCATTCAATTGGGTGGTTGAGTCACTCTCTTTATCTCACTCAAAATAATCCACATAACGTTCAAATTTTATTCCTTTTCATACTTTGAGTTAATGACATTCCAACTTGCTAATCATTTACTACTTACTGTATCGTAATGATCTCAGACAATTGTGTTCATACTTCCGATTGTATAGTAATTACAAGCATATAGAAAGCAAATACGGTTGTACAGTCTACACGCTTCTTCAGAAAAAACAAATCTCAAGCTGTAGCTAAGAATATAACCACTTTATTTCAAAAGGAAGTTTTAAGTTGTAATGAAAAACCAGTGCTTTCCAATTTTTCTAACCCCAAAATTCAAATTTGCTTGCAACTTGCAATAAATTCTAGATTAGAATACTTACATTAGGTTCAATATGTGTATAAGGATTTTGAGTTGCATTCACTAGTTTATATTCATTGGCCATTTCTTCAACTTTTTGTGCACATAATTGCAGTTGACGACTTTCATTCTCAGCTTCATCTAGAGTATTTTCAAATGCTTGATGAGCTGCAATTAATCTCTGCAAGATTTTAGAAAACATAAAAGTGTTAAAAGTAACAAAATAACGGACAAGCACACGATAACACATGCAATAGATGCTATCAATTAATCACAAACCAAATGAATTCGGTTGAAAATTGAGTATCTAAGACAATGAACCAAAGCTTCACTTATTCTATACTATATACAACATTGGTAACTATAAGTAGATGGGAAAACTTTTCCTTAGTGTGACTAAGTTATTACCTCAACTTCAGGCATTGTATGAACAATGAACGTATCTCGTAAATCCTCTTCTGTTTGTTCCATCCAATTGTTAAATGGCTAAAATAAACAATAAACAGTAGTAATATTTAATAAGCATTTTTAAAAATTATCGGGGATTTGTTATGAAAATATTTTGAATATGAGTATATGAAAATGAAAGTAATATATAGCTACAAAAACGTAATGATCTAAGTTAGAAGGTGAAAACTTGCATTTACTAACTAGATTATCACTTCAGCTGTTAATCTCAAAACTTCTACTGCTATCGGTACATAATATTGGAATCGTACCAGTGAAATCCTAATTCAATACAATTTCATAATTATAAGAAATTAGGATTTATGCTCTTTTAATCCATTATCATGTACAAACTGAGCCAGTCTGGTTTTTTCTAGTCTGCTCTTCACGAGCTCTAGTTGGGCGTCTAAGGATAATTGAGGCTAACAATTTAGAAACTATATTACTTAGACTTATTCCCTTGTGACTGTCACAAGAAGACTTGTGCCTTTTCTTATAGATTGGGGCAATCAGTGATTGAGACCAGTCAGATGGGATTACGTCCAGTTCCCAGATTCTACCTAAGATCTCAGTCAATCTAGCTGCTAAAACTGGACCACCATCCTTAAAAATCTCGGAAAGTCAATCTATCGGGTCCTGCTGCTCTCTCTCGCTTCAGATTTCCTATATTCCTTTCAACTTCATACAGATTCGGAGGGCTTACGTTGAATCGCCATTCAGGATGACTGGAGATCATGGACAACCGAATTGTGGCTGAAGGCCAGTTGAAATGACCCCTAAAGTGTTCGGTACATCGATCTAATCTCCTGGATTGAGAATGGATAATAAGATCATCCTTTTCCGAAATAGTCTCACTCACATTCGGGTTCATAATACCGGTTTCCTTGATGAGTCTATTTAGTTTCTTACTGTTGCCTATCGCCGCTGCCTTTTCCATCTCTCTCGCTTTCTCCACCCACCACTGTTCTCGATCATTGCGTAGGCTTTTGTCAGCCTGCGCTGAAGCTAAATTCGCACTTCATTATGTTCCGAGCTATGTGGGATGAGTTTTCGAGCGTCTATCAGTTCGGTGGATGCTACTGAGATCCACGGCTTCTTCCTAGCCTTATGGTTTATCTTACTAGCAGATATCACTGCTGTTTCCACAGCCTTTTTGATATCATTTCAAGCTGCCTTCGCATGGGAATCACTTGCATGGTCGCCTAATTTTTTTCCAGTTGCTCCTGAAATATATTCTTAGTTTCGCTATCATTAAGTAGAACCCTAAGAGGCCTCCTTATGGTGTCTTTCCTACGTCTAGTAAACCTCAAACAAATACGCGCACGCACTAATGCATGATCTGAATCTAGACATGTGCCCCAGAACGAGCGACAGTCCTCCATCGAGCACCTCCGTCGGTGGCTGATGGCGATGTGATCTACTTGGGTACAACGTTGAGACGACTTTGGGGTCGCCAGGTCAAAAGATGTTTTTCCTTATGCTTAAAGTTAGTGTTTGCTAAAAATAGGCGGTTATTTGAGCACAGTTGCAACAGACAGTCGCCTTTGTCTGTTCTCTGAGCCGCGACACCATACGAAAAACCCAGGTGTCTTTCATTTTCACTTAGTCTACCTACTTGTGCATTGAAGTCACCAGCCATTATTACTATATCAGAGCGCTTAACTTTTTGGAGGAGGTCCGAAGGCTTTCTGTAACACTCATCTTTCACAGGTTTCAGGAGACCAGAAATGACTTTTCGTGAACTCGCATCGTTTGCATTAGCTGTGCAGTGTGTTAAAGGAATGTGAGAAGAGTTAGTCGTGGAGATAAGAGAGATAATAGGGGGTGTAGGAAGGATTTGATTTTGACCGATTCGGTCTCGTGTGCTGTTACGGGTATGAGGGCGGTTGTCAATACCCGGCTGCCCACACCCTGGAAGGTTGTTTCTTGAGGAACCTGAAAAGCAAAATAGATTAGTGTTGGTCTTAGAGACCTGGGTGCGTGACCGCAGAGCCCAAGAGACAACTGCTTGAGGCCGGCCACGCACGGCCTTTTTATGAAATGTTTTTAGAGGATTAGCTCCGTTCTTAAAGGCCCTTAGTGGGCACCCTTACCGACAGAGAAGGAAATCCGTGAGGTAGGGTGAGGTGTGACATTTTAGGGTCGACCTTTTCTAACCCTTCCTTACTTGTGAGAAGGCAGCATCGCTGCAGATGCTGGTTGTCCGATGGAAACACCTTACTACTGTCACACCCCTCTGCAGTCAGCAGTACGACTCCGCCCTCAGACCTTGAGTAGCTGCTTTTAGTCTCATTGTTCTCCAATCGTCCTGCCTGGGCATGGTAGAACCTTCAGGAACATAAGTTCTAGCCAATATAGCTCGGTTGGGTCATCACAATAAGCAAGCCCGACCACCACGTCAAGGAAGCAGCTACGGTCGGGCAAGTAATACGATAATCGACATATGAAAAGAATGTACTAATAAAGTATTAAACCAATTGAAGGATACGTTTTCTCAAACGCAAAAATATTCAAGAAGTATATTCCTAAGAAAAATTTTCACTTACGGCAGCTCGTTTTGCGAAATCGAGGTGAAGCCGATCAATTTCTTCTAGAGCTGTCAGAGCTTTCTGTTGATCAAAAATGACAAACACAAGTATAATTAAGAATAAAATGTGAAACTTAAAACAGTTGGTTTGTACAACTGGTTATACATGATATATCCACTCTAAATGGTGTATTTGTTATTCCTAATTAGATCTTACTAACTATGAGTTCTAACACTCGTTGCTTACATAAGGGACTTATACATGAAGGCATGAAAACTTTGGGAAAAGAAACTGAGAAAATCTTCAATCTTATTCTATGCTATCTAGAAACACGAAAATGAGAATACCAGAGAGTATTGACTAATTTTCCAACTTTTTATGAGTTGAAAATAGCACTAGATTTCGTCCGAAATGTCATATGAAAAGCTGATCATACCACTATTAGTCAACTCAATGTCCGTTACATCAACTGGGTTGCGAAAATAAAGTAGGTTGTATGGGGTTAGTGAATGGTCGTCTGCATTTGGAGTTTTAAATGCAGAAAAAGTTTACATTTAGTTCGTATTTATTGAAATAAATAACGATTTGATCTTATTTGGATCGTTAACACAGTAAATCAACTAATAAATACTTAATTTTCACATTAAGTCTCAGTATAAGTTACAGGAATATACAACAGACAAGGCAACGTAGCTCGTTAGAAAATATAGTGAACCAAAACGACCGGTGAAGAACAAGGAAGCCAAACAAATCACTAACATTGAAGAACAGCGAAACAAGTGGGTGAAGCACTTTGAAACCTTGAATAGACCAGCCCCACTGAATCCACCAAACACCAAAACAGCAGAAGTAGGCCTCAATATACACAAGGGAAAAAGCGAGATCGTCCGATAAACACAACATGCATCATTCATATCACACTTATCGCAGAAGCTTTGGAAGATGTGGAGACCTTCACATACCTGGGTAGCATCGCTGATAAACAAGAAGGATCTGATACAGATATAAAGACACACATTAGCAATTGAAAAACATCGGCAGCTCAAATCAACTATCAACTAACACCAAAGTCACAGTTTTCAATACAGACGTCAATACAGTTCTACTGTATGAAGCGGAATCTCGAAGAACCACGAGAGCCATCGTCCACAACATATTAGTGTTTACTAACAGCTGCCTACACAAAATACTTCGGATCCGTTCGCCAGACACCATCAGCAATAACGTACTGTGGGAGAGAACGAACCAGATTCCAGCGGAGGAAGAAATTAGGACAAGGCGATGGAGGTGGATAGGACACATTGAGGAAAGCATCCAACGGCGTCACAAGACAAGTCATCACCTGAAATCCTCGGGGCCGAACGAAGAGAGGAAGGTGGTGAAATACATTACCTCGACAGAACTGGAGAGGGAAGACTACGGTAGACTGGAAGAGAGGAAGAACAAAGAACACTTAACCTCGGAAAATGGAGAAAGACATGAGAAGAATAAGGAACAATCAGATAGAACTGGAAAGGAAGGCCTAGGACAGCGTAAATTGGAGAATGCTGGTCGGCAACTTATGCTTCATTAGGAGTAACAGGTGTAACTAAGTAAATACAACAAAGAAAAATAGGCACGAGTCATTTGAAACAATGTCTTTAAAATATCAAATCAATGTACAACTAACTCACAGATATTTCTCGTTCTCTTTGAGAGGACAACCGTTTCATTTCATCCCATGTAGCTACAATGGCGTTGTAACGTTGATTGAAGGCATTTATGTTAAAATGATTCAGTTTACTGAAAAGTAAAGTAATATTAGCAACACAAAACGCAAGCATTTTTTTTCAATAGACAAATGAAACACTTCTTTGTAAAACTGGTGAAGATAAGGTGTTATATGCTATAAACAGAATTGGAGCAGTAAGCAAATGTTTGATAAAACATTACAGAAAATGAATAATTAAAACTAATAGTTAATTTGATAACAACCTAAAAAGAGTATAACAGTAGGAAAAAAATGTACAAATGCTCCCAACGAGATAAAAAAAATAAACAATTTGTGTGGCTAAATATAGTCGACCAAACTAAAAAGTATTGAGTAAAAGATGAATCAATGGGACTGCATATAATAGAATAATACTCTTTGTAATCAATGATATTCCAGATATGACAAAAGCGTACCCTTGTATTCAGGGATGGACTAATATGTGAACACGAATACATATCAATGGATTGCATTAAATATGAATAAGGTGGGTAAGCATGCATGACTATTTTAATGGTAACTTTTAAGTGAAATTGGACAAATTTCATTTAAAATTATTTGAAAGTTGCCTACTACTAACTGGAGATGTGATGTCACAACATTGTAGTGTTGTTTATTGTTAAGTGACATTGGTTGAAGGTCTATCAGCAGTCATCACTTTGTATACAATTACAAATATAGACAACACTTAAATATACTTCCATGGGTCTAAAAGCTATAACATGGAAAAGGATATCATGTCTTACATCCCGTTTGAGTAACACCACCTAGTTTACAACTACAGAGTGTGATCACATCACGGACTCCAACCAGCAAATCTGCACCTTCTCACACGCCCTTCCCACGGCTTTAACCAATAGTCAATCACACTTCTTATATTATTTAAAGTAAAAGAAGGATATACAGACAATCTATACTATTGACAAACTAAATCTACTTGCTTCAATATCAAACTTCTATTTGCACAATTACAATACCTGTGTAACTCAAAAAGCAGTCAAATATACGTTAAGTTTAGATAGATAGTTACTAATTAGAACTATATCAGTCTATTTCTTTACAAAATCTCTCAATATGGGAATACACACAGGTGAATGAATGTATTTTGCACAAAATAAGTAGGGGCCAATCATAAACAATTTTAGAAGTCAATTAGATTTGATGCAACACTTGAACACCAACTTCGATTGCTTGAATATGCCTAACAAAGTCAACCCAGGAACTTTCATAACCTGCACTATTTGATAACTCAGAGACTTATTAGAGAAAGGGAAGTGATCAGTTTGACATGACATTGGTACGAAAGACTGTACCTGAATGACATATGTAAGCCTAGTACAACTCCCTAGTTGGGATCCAAGAGATAGTGCAATTCAGTGGCCTGAGGCACTATCATGTCTCAAAACGTAAGTCCTAGTTTTCTATTACTTTCCGTAAAGATGAAACTCCTTTAACCGAAGGGAGTCTTTCTTGACTATATTGTTGAACGGGTTTTTTACCAACTTTTATTCTCGTTTATTACTTGGCGGTTGCATGACACTTCCCTCCTTACAATATCACATCATTTGTGTGGTGCATTTCTGGTGCCAGAGATTTATGCACCATAGATAAGTTTGAATGAGGAATTCAGTATTTATGTTTAAGGATAATCAAAAACACTTACTTCAGTTCTTCGGTTAGTGCCTGAATGTGCTCAATGCGAGCATGATGAGCAGTCATATCCGATTGGAAAGCTTCATGTTTCTTCTGAAATGCCCGCATTTCCGATAGCGTGGCCGAGCGGAAGTCATTTGACGCAAGCGCTTCTGGTCTCCCACTAGTCCAAGCCTCATGGGTGGAGCATTTCACTTCGAATTTCTTAGCAAGATATTCAAGACGCTCTAGCCTTTGTAATTCTTCTAGTAACCATTCCTAGAGATGGGACAAAATATATAGGTTGTTTCGACCAGTGGAAATAAAAAACGTAGGGCGGAAAATGTTTACTTGTCCGAAATCCCACATTTCATATTCACACATTGAAAGGAAATTCATGAAAGCAAATTCAAGGGATCGAAGATAACAATAATGAAACTGGTGCACTAGGTACGACCAACATCATTTTAAAAAAAAACAAAGGGAAGTAGGGTATATTACTCCATCTTTATAGGGATATGAACAATTTGACTACCGAAGTCTGTTTAGTAACAAAGTATGCAACACTGTTATCAAACACTTAATTCGGAATAAAATTTTTAAAAAATGGAACTATGTTTATCAAGTGATTTACTGTGAATGTGTGAATACTTGCAACACTCAAACAACAGCATAGAACTGGATACGCTAGTGATCATAATTATGGACCGACATAGAGAAAAGTATTGATTTTGAACTTCTAATTATACCGAGTCAAGTAGTACAATAACACTACATTTCACCATGTTAATTACAACTACTTCACATGTAGTAGCTGATTAGGATCACGTTACAATTTTATAAATTACAGTGGCAGTGATTAAAATATTGTAATGTATAATGATGTTAATTAAGGATGAATGGGCCTATTTGTAAGAAACTTGAGACGGATAACGAAAACCAACCTCATAGATTTTATCAGCCTGTTCTAAGGAACTCCAATTCTTAGCGACATCCATTATTAAGCTCCCAGTGGCGGGTACATAGGGGGATTTATTGTTTAATCGCAGACGAGTCTGGAGTGTGTTGTACGTTGTCTCTAGGCGAGCTTTTTCCTGTAGTTTAGATGGCTTTTCTTGGCGGCAATATAATCTAAACTTCTGCTGCAGTCCCTCAACGTCGGAAACGGACTTTTGGGGACTGCGTTGCTGAAACAAGAAAAACAGGTGAAGCAGTCGAATATGAAATAGTAATATACATATAATTAACAGAATAACAAACCAGAAGTTCTTTGCGAATCATATCTTAACTTGTGGAGCCATAGGAAAATTTCTAAAAATTGAGAATTGATTAGCGCGAATTGGATTACCGCGAACAAATTTAAGAACAGTTTAACTATTGGAGGAAACTACGATCTTAAAAGCTTTTGATGACTAGTTAGTGAACCTTCCCTATACGCCTACATCTATTTAACCAATTTATTTAAACGCATAATTATTGGTACATAAGAGCATCTAAATATTTATGGATTAGGATAATGTCTGGGTGCCTAAATCGAAGCAGATGATCTACACAGGGGGCTGATTTCCGTGGTTTCGACCTATAAATCCAAACCACAAAGCAGTAGATCAGTGTTAGATGCAATCTCATGACAGCCGGTGACCAACAACCGGTTTGTACGCCATTTGCTCCCTCAGGATCATGGAGTTCATGAGCACCATTTGTTTGGGTCTGAGGTTTTTCAACTCCCCTGGGTGGATCCTTCATACTCACCAACCCAGTTTGTGTCATCTTTCATCTCCATTTTGTAGACAACATCCCTGCCACGAGACGGCAGTGAGTAGGACTTCCTTGATAGTCGCTGCATACACGTGGTCATATGAGAGTATTTCGAGAGGACTCTCCCCACGACCGTACCAGAGTATATAGGGGCTCCTAACTTACACCAACAGTCTAACATTTGGTGCAAGTTAGTCTTGCGCATTTCTGTAAAACAGAAATACGAAATGCATGTTAAACATGAAGGTATAAGCTAAATTTTTGGTAGGAATAGGTAAAAAATTATGGGCATTGACACTGTGTACGACCTACAGTAGACTCGTTGAAAATGTGGAATTGTGAAATCATAGGATGATTTAAATATAACTATATGAACAGAGCAAGTTTAGCAACTAAGGACCATTACGGTAACAAATATTTGATTATACTCAAAACTAATACAAAAATTGTGGTATCCTGAACCTTGGAATACAGTGTCAGAAATGTAGTACAATGCACACCGACTTACTGCAAATTCTTCCAACTTCATTTTTATCCAGCTCAAAAGTTTGTTGGAAATTGTTTCGTAGCATTCTTTTAAATTTTGATTTTCCCGAATCATCCGAAGATTATTAGCAATACGAGTAGCTGCAATATTTGTCTGAGGAAGTGATTAACACAATAAGCAAGCTAAGTAACAGGAACTAGACAAGAAATATTAGATATCAAATGAAACGAATGAGTATGCTAAACCACAAAATTAAAACCGTAAAACTGGCAGCGTACAAAACGGCAAATTCACAATTGCGAATTCAAGAAAATTACTTTATGAGATCCCGAGAACAGATGATAATATGAAGACAAGTAGGCCATCACTGAACGCTCATCACATTTTCTGCTGTTTACCAAATCTAGGAATCGTAATTATTAGATATATTAGCTTTACCTCCTGGATCGAGCATTCTCGGAATATCAAGGTGTTTCTCGGCCACATCAAAAGCAAGATTTAAGTTTTCGAAGGGTTCATCCTAGAACGGAATCAGAGAGAAATATTACATACCGGATTGAGTTGAGAGTAATTGATTAGCTGCGGTCGATTCCTATGTATTATGGCACAAAACGCTAGTCCGTCTTTAAAACTGTAGAATATCGATGATCTTATGGACATTAACAAACCTAGTGTGGAAATTTTCTACACGCACATTTTTGTACGGTGCGGTTTGCCTTTGACACCAAAGCAACAATCCCTCCTTTGCAGATGAATCTAAATCAAAACAATGATAAAGAATAGAACGTGGTACCTTCTATTTGGATATCCTGAATAGCAAAGCGAAGAATGATTGTCCATATCATTCCAAGAGTCATTTTCACATTCCCATCGACAATTTCTAGAAATTAATTAACGAACTGGAAGAATTACCTTCAGCACCAATAGATACCAGTTTGACGCCTTTGCTCTCAATGAAATCGAGAGCTTTGTTCACATTAGCGATTTTATGAAACCTCATCTTTCCTCTATCAGGCTTCGGTAGTCGTTCGGATGAGATTACTTCAAGTAACTTCATCAATTTTAATCCGTCGCGAAAGTCATTTTCTATGACGTCGATTTGTTCATTAACATTCCTTAAGTGAGCATTGCACCATGCGGTAAAAGTCTGAAGCCAAATGTCCCAAAGAATAAAAAATGCTACTATACCTTCTTTTGTTGTAACTCCCATGCCGGGTCAATGGGGAGGTCTTTATCTGACTCAATATCATCATAATCTATGTACCCCTCGTAATTGTATATGGCCATGTTGAAATCGCTGAAACACAAATCAAAAACGTGCCCGACCCAGAGAATCGAGTAGTGTGAATGGTGAGAATAATATTTTAGATCATTTAAAAAGTTGGCATTGATTTTTGATATAAGACCAGTTAAGTGAACTTCGTTCCTTTCATAACCTAAAGTACGTCAGACCATAAAAAGTTTTACATTAATAACCACCAGAAAATAGTAAACTACCAAGATTTCCACTACCTACAATATTTTTTCACGAGCAAGTATAAACCACTTGATTTCTTTACTCTTGTTGTTTCAATGCAGTTCTAGGTATATGGCAATATCCAGTTGATGATATTCTAGCCACTCGACTGCACTAGTCTGATATATTAAGACTGAAGCCAATATAAACGATATCTAGCCATAGTCATAAATGAGACCCAGTTATTGGACGGTGTCTCCAATCGAACGTATGCAACCACTGATCAGACAGAGAATATCGTCAGTCAGAATTTGTCATCGATTAACCACCAGCACGGATTTTCTAAGAAATTAACCCTAAAAAATATCGTTGGTGAACTTAAGAACTAATAATTCCCATGTAGTCTCTTAGTTGTATTTGAAAAACGTGAGGACTCTGGAATCTGAAGAGTCAGCTACTGATGTTCACTAATCAAAGGTAGTGTAAAGATGTAGTAGAACCAGCTATTAAGCTAAGTTTTTTATGAGTTCGCAACAGACTACTGAACGCTAGACAGTTAATTACCATCCTTAAGATCAAGGATGAGTGAGACGAATCAATTTATCGCATGTCATAGATATGCACTCTCAAAAGTCCTCCCGGTATGTATTTCACTAATCTGTCCTTCTTAGCGAATTCTGTTAAGGTGATAATACTATTTGATCTAGCTAGTCACTGAGCCGATGGATTTATCTGGTTATTGTGATAACACAGTCCATGTTATGTATTAACAGAGAGGTGTGACTACGAGTAGATCATAAACAGACTACCTACACTGATGGTCTACGAAGACATTTTTAACAAGTCTCGTTAGGTATTGTAAAATCGGTATATGCTCAATATGGAAAGTTTTGTTTACACCAATTGTCAAGATTAACCTCATACAGGTACTGCAAAAATTTGTTTGGTTCCGTAAAGTGTGTATGAGTCCAACTTTCAGACCTTCGGCCCGGTCGAGAAAAGTTTTCCTGGAGTGCCTGTCATAGCGACATAAGACATAATTACTGCTATTCTCGTTTACAATTGGTTTCACAAACTTTAATATCTCCCCACCGTTGGTATCATAACCTGTCAGTCTGATCTATGCAACAAGTTTTAGAGAGCTTTTATCAGTAATTTGGATTTCGGAGAATAATTAGACCGGGTCAGCCGGTTGGGCTTGACTGATAATGACGACCAGAGCAGAACGTCCATAGTTATGATACGTAAGCAAAAAAGATTTCAGGTTCAGGAAACAAGATGTTTCATGACTCGCTTTCCGATTTTAAACAACTTTTTCATGGTGACAAAATGGCGGAAGTGACTGTATCATAGTTTAAAGGGTTTCCATCAATAAAAGCTATTCAGACGAATAGATTCCATCCCATTATCATGGTGACGAACCCCAAAACAACTGTTGCGTCTTTAATCTACAATGAACAACCATTATGATAATATTATGTTGTTTAATACATTTGCACATCCTTGAATGTACTGCCGGCCAACGAGACAGCATCTCCATAGGCAAACCATCTTAACATGAGATACATATATGTGCCACGCTCTTCAGCTAAAAACTGGATATGCCAGTGTCACAAGTTGCTGATTCACTTAGTATTTCCATTCACGTCATCCCTGACAATATTTTCTGCTCATTATTCTGTCCCACTATGTCATCCTTTACATTACCATTTTTGATTTACGCCTACCTATTCAACGAAAGACCAATAATCTGGCAGTGGCTTTTTCTAGAAACCTGTTGGCACTAGAAAAATTAAATCTACTACTCTCACATCATTGTGTTCTCCAAATACTGGTATATTAGTTAGATCAACCTCGCAAAACTCTTTTAAGAGTTTGGAAGTGATCCTCAACATCAAAACACAAGCTTAAAGAATTTAACTGGTCTACATTAGAACGTTGGGTGTGTTAGATAAATTATTGACTTAACTGTAGGGTGAAAAATTGACCTCTTTTTGGTAAGGGCAGTATATAAGATCGTTCACTCTGACTAAAGAACAATCCACAAGAAAAAAATAATTTACGTAGCACATGATGGTTTTTCAGACTGATCTAATCTATGGATTCCAGTTAAGTACTAAATAAAGTTAACTCGTTGTAAATTGAAATTTCTCCATGGTTCCGTCATTTATGTTAGCTGTTTACTTCCGAACGTTTCTTGATGTATGCAAACAGAGCAGTTGAGATCTCAAATCTCTAATGTTCAGCTAAACTTTTTGTGAATTCAAGGTTGACAAAAAAGGTCAGGCATGCAGTTAGCAACCCTGTCCAATAAAAAGGATTTCGCTGAAAAATTAGTCAGAAAACTTACTTTGATCAATTCAACTTTGCTTTAATAGTCAGAGGATTTTCGTTTTTTTAGAGCGCTATGATATATGACGATGAAAGACGAGATTCTTTCAAAGTGGCAAGATTATTTCTTCTTCCGACAATTAGATCAGTAGTTAATATTAGGATATGGATTGTGTTGCGCAATCTGGATGACCGACAAGATCATCCAAGCAGTAGTGAAAATCATATGACAGTCTTGGTCTGCTTGATATAAAATGAAATTATTGGAAACAACTTCGAAAATTGCTCGCTTCGATAGAGTTTCTTCCACGTTCATGTTATAGAGGGGGGGAAGCGCTAACATATAAGGAGGTGGACTGGTACTTTTCAGGGAGGTACGTACAGAGCATGACGGATAGAAATCAAATGAATTCGGAATTATCAAACCACCATTCAGAACAAAGCAAGAGAGGGATATAACGAATGCCATCCACTGTTATACATCCACAAGACATCATACCAGGTATACCCCTTTTCAACAGCATGATCAATGTGATATTGACATTTTCAAGAGGTGAATAAAAATCAGATGAAGTCAAGCAGATGTCTTAGGAGGAGTTCATAGTCCAGCAGTAGTTCGCGAAAGTGTCTAGGGGAGTCTTATCAGTCCTTATGATCGAGAGTTTGACGAAGTCTCTCCACAGGTACAGAAGTCTTTGACGACGTTGACCAACTTGTGTCACTTATGGCTTAGGCGAGATGTCAGTCTACTAACGAAAGAAAGAGTTTACAGCGCAGCAGTTTACTCCATCTTACTATAACTGTGTGAAACATGACTAGTTAGAGTAGAGGATATATGCAGGTCACTAGCGTTCGACTCCGCCTGGAGCCCTTCTGTAGCTGTTGCTGGTCTTGAGCCCGGACAGAGGAGGATGGTTGGGCATGGGGTTGGTGACCCCATCCAGTAAAAACCTATCTCGCGAAAAAAACGCTAACCAGAAAAATGGAATCAAACCATCATAGCTCTGCCCTGGCAGTTAGAAGTTTTTCGTTCAGAAGAGTTATCATGTCTCGTGATAAAATCCGAGTTCCTTCGGAAGTCACGAGGCCGATGCCCCTTCTCATAACCAAAGCAATCATTAATTTAGGTACACAGAATGTTCGAAGACTGTTCCAGGTCGTTTCAGAAATGAAAAGATACAACCTGGAGGTGCTTGGAATCAGTGAAACACATTAAACGTAAGTTCGACAACATACACTAGCTTCAGGAGAGCTGCTGTTATACTTCAATCATGAAAAAGAAAATGCCTCATGCACACAAGTAGTTGCACAGAAGGCACTGGTAGGATGGGAATCTCATGGACCCAGGATCATCAAAGCATTTTTAAAACAAAGAAAGAGGACATTTCAATGAACATCATCCACTCTTATGCACCTACGATTGACTATACTGAAGAAGTTGAACATCAATTCTACAGTCAATCTGTAGTCAATCATCGAGGAATGCTCATCAAAGGATTTGACCGATCTGATGGGAGACCTAAACGTCGAGGTTCACAAGAACAACACTGAATATGAAAACATCATGGGAAGACATAGACTGGGACAATTAGTAATTGGGACCAGTCAGATGGGATTACGTCCAGTTCCCAGATTCTACCTAAGATCTCAGTCAATCTAGCTGCTAAAACTGGACCACCATCCTTAAAAATCTCGGAAAGTCAAGCTATCGGATCCTGCTGCTCTCTCTTGCTTCAGATTTCCTATATTCCTTTCAACTTCATACAGATTCGGAGGGCTTACGTCGACTCGCCTTTCAGGATGACTGGAGATCGTGGGCAACCGAATTGTGGCTGAAGACCAGTTGAACTGACCCCTAAAGTGTTCGGCACGTCGATCTAATCTCCTTACTTGTAAACGCCATACTTAGTCCTGTCTTCAAAACAGGTAGGAGAAACAGATCGGAGAGCAGTCAACCCGCCAGCGTAAATAGCATGATTGTTATGATATTAAAAAAGATTATTCGCAAGTTCTTTAACTGTCACAACGATACCAGGATTCATTTTGAAAAATGGCATGATTTTAAAAGGGGTTTATCAAGTCTTTTGACAATGTTTGACACTACAAACTGTTGTATAAGTTAGGTGACGTCAGGCATGAAGGTAGTTTACTTATGTAGATAAAAGATCTACTATATGAGCTGCAACAAAACTGAAGGTTTCGTATAAGTTGTTCAGCAGAAAAACGTTTTAGAGAGGTGTGTTGATCCTTGTGTATGTAAGCGTTCTTCCAAGGCTTCTACATATCGGCTTTCATCATAAGACGTCATAACTCTTCTAAAGCAAGACCTTCTAAGTGCCATGACAGATTTTAAATGGTTTGAATTATTTTTTCTGGTACCGTGGTACAAATACACTCACGATAACATTGATTTTACGGATATTATGACACAGAATGACCATGAATTCATCATCATCCAGGTCTTGAAAACTACTGCACACTGCTGCCCAGTAGCAGCTAAAGGTTCCGGTTCGTCCAATAATCGAGGAGTGCATACAAGTAGCCAGTCCTCGCCAGTAAAGATAGAAGGTCATTTGAAAAAATTCAAAGAACCTAAAACAGGCCGATTCTTGGAACTAGCAAAATAGTCGCATGAATGAGGAC